GTAGTTATATTGTGAGAGTTAAGTGTTAAGTGAGAGGTTAAGTGCATATTGTTAAGTGAATCACATCTCTAACCATTTTGTTAAGTCTTATGTTGCAGTAGCTCCCAACAATGTTGAGGATAATCTCTTTGCAACTTTTTGATTAATTGATTTTGCCGAGTATTTCAAATTTATATTTGTTATCATCTTTAAATGCTATGATAAGGAGACGATAATCGGATATTTGCCTTATTTCACAGCGTATTATAACGACAAAAGCAGTATACCTTGCTAAATATATTCAGTAAGATTTGAGTAAATATTAAAGTTTGAACTGTAAATTTCGGAATTAAATTTTAATTATCGAATCGTATAACGATAATCTTTGCAAAAAGAGTAGTCTTTTTGCACCTTTTTGATTAATTAATTTCGCCGAATATTTCAAATTTTATATTTGTTATCATCTTTAAATGCTATGACTCGGGAAAAAAATGGGAAATAACTATAGTAAGAAGTGATAGGAAGACAATATGCTATTAAATAGGAACATTGATCCGTTTAATGAATAGATTGAAATTGGAGACTTGCTACTGCAAATTGATGAGGGTCATTGGCTATGTCCTTCATGCGATCTTTAGGGAAATAACTACAGTAAGAATTTCGAAAAATCGTAATTCTATTCGGAACGCTTCCGATTCATCGATCGCTGATACTGGGAGCGGTACTAGCAATCGCTATGAGCTGCTTAATGGTTACAATCGAAATTCGGAGCTACAAACTGTATCAATTGGACGAAGTATTGTTAGTTGAGATAAGGACATGGATATCAATCGGGATTTGACATTTTTCTTCGAGCCAAATCTATAGGTTTAACTTCAGATACATCTTACTGCAGCGATGAACTTTCGACAAATTGATATATCATAAAATTTAGTTAAAAATATATGCCAATTTAAAAATAAAAAATGTATACAATAAATATATAATTAGCACTAGTAATTAAAAAAAAGGAAAGTTTATCACAAGGATGTTAAAAAATATATCATTTAAAATTTTGTGATACAGTATATGTGAGAAATTTGCTGGATCAATTTCATTTAATTAATGCTTAAAATATGAAAAGTCAACAATTATACACACTTAAAAATTTAAAATTGTAATAAACAAATTTCT